CCCTGTTCATTCTGTGCTAGTACAATTTTTTTCCAGAGGAGAAGAGAGCAGGAAATTCAGTGCTGTTCTTTGGAATTACAAGCATCTTTGCAAGATATGACAGTTAGGTTGTACTCAGTTAAGTGTCTTGTTTCTAGTTTTGCTGTTACCATCTTGCTGACCGTTTTTAGGTAAGCAATTTTCATAAGGGCTTGATTAATTAGCTTATGTGTCATTCAGAATTCAGTTGGCCCTTTTCAGTCCCTTTTTATGTTGATCAGCCAAATTTATGATGTTAACTATAATCTCTGATGTACTAGAATAAGACTGGGCCCTTGGTCTTTCAGATTGCTCAGCTTTAGATGCCGTGTCTTTGAAGGGGTGTTGATATCTTCGTAAATCTCAGCAGAACTAAACTGGGGTGGTTTCAGCCTTCAATCTCTCGCCCTTTGCTCCAAAAGCACTCGGAGGAGCTGAGCTCACTCCTGTTTGCTGATGGTTTCTCTCACAAGAAAAGCAAGGGTTTACTTGCCTGCTCAAATTACATATGTGAGGTACCTAAAGGGAAACGAGATGCTCTGAGCTGGAATAATCAGTGTTCCACTGCATCTTTTATCAGAGTTGGAAGCCATGGAGGTCTGATACCATCTGCACACCAAATGTTCTGGTGCTTGACATTCTCCATGAGTGGTCAAAAAGGGAACAAATCTTCCCTTGATCACTGGGCTAAAGCGTTAAATGAGATAGAGACTCACAAAAATAGCTGCTTTGTCCTATGTTCTCTCTGTAGGATTTCTTTGATCTGTGCCAATTTCAACTATTTTGGTAATAGTTCATGCCACTTACTGTCTAACATCAGTTATTGTCTAAAATCTAATTTATCTAATTGAATGCATCAGAAAAAAAATTAGGTTTTCTGGCAGTGGATATCTATAAGAGTGCATTGGTCACAATCCTTGTCCATCTCCTTTTCTAAAAGAAACCATAATTTCCATAAATATGAAATATATTCACTGTGCTGGGAAAGTAAAAAACACTGTGCTGTTAGTACTAATAATTTCCAAAGCCTGTCAGTCACATCAATGAAAGAATGTAAGTACTCTCATAGCAATGCAAATTGTAAGGCTTATTTCTTAGGCTGCGCCCTCATAGTTTGGGATAGTACTGTCTCCTCTTATCAGTTGACATGTATTTTTAGTCAACTTGAAGGCTCTCCAGTGGACCATTAGTTTAAGCTGGATCAAGAAATGGATACTGGCCTACTTCTCTGGGTAATGATTAGTTCAGCAGTATAGATCCAATAAGGATTGAACTTCTCTCACACTGGAGCTTTCCTTCATTTTCCTGCAGAACAATATTTAAGGAGCACTTAAAATGGAATAGGTCATGCTTTGGGTACAAATTACAGTTCAACATACTGGTCTTTTAATTCCCTAGACTTCTGTCTTTTTAAAGATGTAATAGCAGTTTTAAATTTTTTTTTAAATTATTTTTAGGTTTATGCATTAAATGATTTTGTTTTCAACTCTTTCACTGTTCTGTTTTCTCTTGGTTTTGTATTTCATTACTATTTCACCACTCGTATTAAAGCTGATCTGAATTATAGACAAAGGCTGAAGTGGAATAGGTGTTGGCACGTAGATGCTGAAGGGGGTTGCTGGAATGGGCCTTGTAAGGCTGCTGAAGGGGCAGCTCTAGTGGTCGGTGTTTCTGAACCTCGCAGGAGGACTGCTGAGGTGAACGCAGAACCAGATGGATTTGCCGAATTTTAATCTTGAATCACTCCTCAATTTCTCAAACTCAGGTCTTGTCTCCCATCTACAAAATGTTCATCAGAATTGGAGATGACTGTTCCAAGGAAGTTTTCTCAGGTTTTTGGTTTGGTGTTTACTTTAGGGTCTCTTTTTTTTTTTAACCTCATTGAGGGTAGACTGACTTACTTCTAAGCTTTCTAGAATCTGCTCTTTATTATGCAGAGTAGTGAACATTTTTATTTAGTTAATATTTGTTCCCACATTAGAGCTCAATTCTAGTTCAACCTCCTCTCTCCTCTTTTCTTTATGAAGTGCAAAAAAGGCACACGGACCCAGTGTGTTTGCATTTCCGAGATGCCGAAATGGCAACGTATTCTCAATCCCCTTTGCACTAGGCCAGAGACTGAGGTAGAATTTCCCTGCCAAATGTTCCTTGTTCTGTGGATGTTTATTGAGGAGAAGGAGAGGGAGAAAGGTCAGATTCAGATTTTTGATGAAAACTTGGCTGATCTCTTTACACCAAAAAGATTTTATTTATAGTTTAGTCTCTATGCTGAGGACTATTTTTCACAGTCACAAACTGTTTTTGGTAGAAACATTGCACTGTGTATGAGCCAATGTACAATACGATGTACAGTAGGCAATAATTTGCTGAAGCAACTCATGTAACCTAAGCGTTCTGTGCCAGCATGTCTCATTTTTTACATGCGGATATGAGAAAGTAAAAATAGTTCTCTGATTTACCTCCTTTTGCTTAAATGTGTCTCTGCACTTACAGGCTTTTCAGTTATTCATGTGTTGCCCTAACTCCAGGGCAGTTCAGACTTTTTTTCTTCTGAACTTGCGGTGAGAATAGTACATGGCAGTTACAAAATTAATCTCTAGCTTAATGCAGAATTACAGAGTTAATTTAGTGCCTTACTGCGAAGGAAATTCATTTGGTAAGCCTAGACCAAATGAAACTTCACATATTTTTGAGATGAAATTCAACAGCTAGGGCTTAAGTAGTATGGAACAAGTTCATTCCGCTCCTCCCACCCAAAGATGAAATTCTTTGTAGCTGTTGTTTGATGCCATCAGTTCCACTGCAGCACAGTACTGTTGAGGAGATGTTGTTAGCTACTGGTAGAGCTTTCAGAAGAACCAAGTCTGTGTACCAGTTGAGTTAGAGTGTATGTTTTTGCTGGGTTACACTGTGTCCAGCAATGGCATAGGAGTATGTATTTAATCTAAACCAAAGTCTCTGCATTCTTGTCTCTTAGCTGTTTCCAAAAAAGTTGCATATGAAGCCCCAGTTTGGGCAGAAGACGTGATGCGTATAGCAGTAGGTGGAACAGTCTGGACATTGCTAGATCCTATGGAGGCAGCAGGCAAAGGAAGAGATCTAGGACTGAAACAGACCGATGTCTTAAATTCCTGTTTAAGAATTGGTCCTTTGGGTATTACTGTTTGCATGGAGCTTGAGATGCTAAGACAGCAAGAGCATTGATTTTTGGTGAACTCTGGTGGACGCATAGACTTAGGAAGTGGGGTGGTGTCAAATGTGGCCAGTGCATTGTATTTTCTTTGGGTCATAGTTGCTCTGTTAACCAGTGATAGAGGTTCTGTTTGGCATGAGGTTTTGGCATTCTAGAGACCAGTTTATTGCTAAGTAGTACAGGACTTGCAGTATTTGGCTGATGTTGACCATGACTAGAACCCTCTCTTTATCTCTCTCTGTGCCTCTATCTCTGCGTGTGTATGTATAATAACTGGCTCCCAGGCAGTGCTCTCAATTAGAGTTAGGCTGAGGAAATCAAAAGCTGTAGAAACCCAGGTTTGTGGTGGGTTTTGCAGAGCCTCTACAGTTCTGAGGTGGGCTCTCATCAGCTGTAATCAATGTCTTGCCTAGCAGCTTGTGACCATAGTTCCGAACTTTAAATTGGGATTTGGGTTTGAGTTAGGTCATCTAAACCTGCAAGAGCCAAGTGTTGTAATGGACTGTGCAGTTCTTGGGTTTGGTTGGAAAAGGACCAAAGCTTTTGGCTTTTTTTCCCTGGATACAGTTAGTATCAGCACTTGGATTAGGGTTTGGGATTAAAGGACTTGAAGAGCGCAGGGGAAAGGAGAGGGGCTGTTTGGGTTATTTTTGTTTGCTCGATGGGTACTACAGAAGCCACAAAGTTAGGAACAGGGCTGATGCCAGTGTTAGTTCATGCCTTATGGTCTCATTTAGTGCAGAGATGAGCAGTCTTAAGGTTAAGGTTTGGGTTACCTTGATGTCTACAATTAGGGTCTGAGGATCTAAAGCTGTGAGCGTGCAGCTTACTGCCAGATCCAGCAATCTGAAGAGCTAGGAGGAGGCCCATGTAGAAAGTGCCAAGTTTCAGCAGCATTTTTCTTCATGGTGGTAGCCTTCTTGGTGTAGGCTTTTTTGACCTCAAGCTACTGCATGGTAAAATAATAAATAGGTGTAATTTTGGAATCTGGAATTCTGACCTGTCTAATTGCAAAGGCAAAATGAATGATAGGACTTCAGCTGAGTTGAGAGGCTCTAGATGTTTAAGAAGTTCCTTATTTACCATGTTCTGTCCAAATTGCAAGTATTTTTCTTGGTATTTTGCTATTTCAACAGAAACACACTAAGGATTTTGTGGTGATGGCAGGTGCCGACAAAAATCGGTATCCTACTGAGAATGGTTTGAATCTAAGGTTACAGATAGAAAGAAACAGTAAATTGATCACTTACGCTCTCCATGATTCACATAAATTACAGATAATAAATACTTCCTCCCAAAGCAGACTTGTGCTCTGACAGTATCATAGAGCAAAACTTCTGGCAGCTATTGTAAATATAATGTGGGAAGGTGCTGTATGTGTTTGCTGTGTTACACAACGTGAACGTGGTTAGCCAGCTTTAGTCAGAAGAAGTAAGTACTATGATTTAGGAGGGGCAAAATGTCACTGAATTTTGTACAGCCACAGCACTAGTTGTGTCTGTCAGATACTGCTTCTTTGCTCGTCTTGAAGAAAACCAGTAAAAGTAGATGGAATTTCATTAGAAGAATTCCAGTCAATGACTGGTTGATAAACAGTTGTCTAAGGAAGTTAGAAAATTTTGTTTTTCTTTAACCTACCCTTCTTTCTTCCTAAAAGCAGTATGCAAGGAGCTATACTTCATAAGTGTGTGCTGAGAACTAGCTAAAACGTAGTCAAATGTATTGAGAGGAACACGCTTATTTGTCACTGGTGTATTAATGCTTTTTAAATGTCACTCTTTGTTTCCAGGCCTTTTTGCAAATGTGCAATCTGCCAATCCGGGTGGTTTGCAGGGCAAATGCCGAGTACATGTCCCCATCTGGTAAGTGTGGCCTTCATTTAGATTACTATGTTATACCTCCATTTTGATACCATGGCAACTGCGCCTTGCCTTGCTGATAACAGTTGGTCAGTGCTACCACGTGTGGGTTGCCTTCCCCCCTCCTCTCCCATGCAGTTTCTCCTCTGTAAACAATTAAAACAGTCAAATGCAAAGTAACGTTGGCGCAATGTGTAACCGCGCCTGCGATTGCAGTACCTGTATCTAGCATTCAGACAGCTCACATGCCTGGCGGAAACCTTCTCTAAAATGCCTGAGAGTTGTTGTATCCTGAAGCAGAAAGACTTAGGTTTCCAAAAGTGGCTTTATTCTGCATCCAGGGAATATTCCAGTGAATGCTGTTATATTTTCCCATTGCTGGGGTGAGACAACACTGGAGGAGTATCTTTTGTTACCTTGTCTGGAAGACGATTGCCAGGATGTTGATACAGGAGAAGACTGAAGGGTGCATTGTCACTGGTAAGGGTGACAGGTGATTTTAAATCTTCCTCTGATCCATGAGACTGTGTGGAAAAAAGTCCAAACCCACCAATAAATTAAGTATTAGAAGGGTACAGAGTCTGCCTTCTGCTGGAGGTGACTGGTTGCCTAAAAATGTCCAGAGGCTGGCTCCAGAAGTTTGCCTAAAAATCAGAGAGAATCGCTGAATGCAGGGCGCAAAAGTCTGGTAATCCTCGCAGTCCTCCTCAGATTTTTGTTGTATGAGAAGATACTTATTTACCAATTACTTGGCTTTGGCTGATGCCTGCCACATGGAAGTGCCTGTCAGTATATGTCTGCCAACTGTATGGATTCTGCTGCTGCTACTGATATTTCAGTCAAAGCAGCTAGAATTATGCTATTTAAAAAAAATAAACAAAAAACCAGTTGCTGGGCAGCAGTGAAAATACAGCAAAATATGGAGGTATATAAATTATTCGTTAGTAAATAAAGGTAGCTTTGAAATGCTGAATCCATGCAAGAGGAGCATCTTGCACGCACAGGAGTAGGACTGGTGACAGTTGCATACTCTCTTCTCTGCCACCTGCACCCTATGTCCACACTTGCTGGCATCTGGTTTACAATGTGGATCTGAACCCTTCCTTCCTTGTGCTGAAAACAAGGAGCACAAGAGGGAAAATGATGCTGCTTCAATTTTAAATGTAGGTAGAACTACACGTGTTCTTTTTGCCCTTCCTCTTGGAGTCCTTGTTATTTTTATTTACTTTCCCCATATCCTTTCTTTGTAATATTTTGATTGTTTAATGATATTTCAGAGAAGGTTTTCATTTGCTCCCTTCTCCCTCCCCACCTCCCCCTGTCTCACAGCAGCAGCAGACAGAGATCGGCATCTCATCATTTTGGGGGGATGGTTATTTATCTCATAGTTGTCGTAATGATGAAACTCATTCTGAGGGATTCAAAAGCAGAATAGCAAAGGATTGTCTTGGTGTGTGAAGTACAGTCTGACTGAAACTGCTGAATTCTGCAGCTCAGAGGTCTGCGTTTCCTTCCGCAATATGCAGCATGTGCATGCAGATGAAGCCTTTGTTGGTGTGATGCACTTCATTTATTATCCTTAGGCTGATCGAGCCAGTGAGAAGTGAATCTCATGATAAAAGCTATGACTGAATCTGCTGTTACCATGAGCTAGGTGTTTGAGCTAGGCTGAACAGGTTTTTTGTGTTTCAGTGAAAAGAGTGAATGCATTGCTAATAAGAGATCTGGAGTCAGGCAGGTACTGATCTTGGTCTTTGGGCTGTCTATCGAGAGCAGAGTTTGCCCACAGTGAGAGGTGGGAACGTAAGAGTGAGTGTGCTGTGCCCCACTGCACTGGGCAGGCTCGTTTACTGCCTTTGGGCATGAGGATGTTCTCGTAATACAAAACATCCAGCATTTGTCTCCATTTTATGGATGATTTCAATCACGTAAGTAATCCTAGAAGATTTAGTCTTAAATCTAAGGTTGATGTTTGTCAATTGCGTTTGGATGAAGATTTTCAGAATGACCAATGTGGTTAGGGTGGATTGGAGCAGGAGCCCTCAGCTTCACATGTTGAGAGCTGGGAAAAAGAGGCCTAAGGCAACTTCTGTCATTCTTTGTGGCGTGCTGTGTGTAACAGGGCTTCCTCTTGTATCTCTGCCTGCCTTAAAGCTTTGGCTCAGTTCTGTGTGTAAGAAGTTACCAAGCAGAGAAGGTGGTGCGTACAGACTTGGGAGCCCTTCACACCCCCACAAGTTCCACCAGTGATACAGTCACTTCCCAGTCTCCTTTTGAGGACTGGCTGCTTTTGGCCCTGCTCCATGCTGGACCTTCAGGGCTCAGCTTCATAGACTGAATGTTGAGCCTTACTAGATTAAGCTTTAACCCCATTTTGCTTCCAAGATGATGAAGTAGCTCCTTCCCCCTCCCAGTCCCCCAGATCGTGAAGCTGTGGGTCTCACACTGAGAACCTGTTTGTGACCCCGGGACCACTGGGGCTCGAAAATGCCAGCTCACAACTAGAGGGTGAAGACTGGGGCAGCCAACAGGAGCTGGCTGGCCCAGTTGTTGGAAATCTGAAGGACTGGAGGGAGGGAGAGTCGAGACCCTGCCTTGCTGAGTGTGCGTTTGCTCTTCCCCCTGCTTGCTTTTCTGGGCACAATGCCACATCTCCCGTCATCCTTTCAGCAGCCCTTTCCCCACCAGTGGGTTAGAAGGGAGGGTGGGAACGCGTTGTGTCGTAAAACTAGCCAAGGGCTCTGTTTGCTTTCCTGGGATTTCCCAGCTGTACTTCAGAGAAACATTGAATTAAGTCTTTCCACAAAGCAAAATCCATTAGTAAAATACAAGTTGATAGATCTCACTCAATAACTTTGAAATGCACAATTGCAAGTATTGCACGTAGAAGAGGTCCAGGAGGAGGAAGATGAGGAGGATGTTTGTTAGTACAAACGTTCGGTGGGTGAGCTATGTATATTAGAGCTTTACCTGTGCTCATTTGAAAAAAAAACACTGATGTTCAGGTGTACCTGCAATATTTAATTGCTTTCAAAATTGGAAATGATGTTTTACATGTATAAAAACTTCTTACTAAAATATATTTATCATTTTGCAGGCAAAGTACCCTTTATTCATGTGGGAAATCAAGTAGTATCTGAACTTGGGCCCATAGTCCAGTTTGTAAAAGCCAAGGTAATAATAGTACATTGTTTTCATCAATTACTGAATAGCATGTTAATCCTGCTTAGCATTAGAATCATAGAATCACTAAGGTTGGAAAAGACCTCTAAGATCGAGTCCAACCGTCAACCCAACACCACCATGCCCACTAAACCATGTCCCTAAGCACCTCATCTACCCGTCTTTTAAATACCTCCAGGGATGATGACTCAACCACTTCCCTGGGCAGCCTGTTCCAATGTTTAACCACTCTTTCAGTAAAGACATTTTTCCTCACGTCCAATCTAAACCTCCCCTGGCACAACTTGAGTCATTTCCTCTCGTCCTATCACTTGTTACTTGGGAGAAGAGACCAACACCCACCTCGCTACAACCTCCTTTCAGGTAGTTGTAGAGAGCAATAAGGTCTCCCCTCAGCCTCCTTTTCTCCAGGCTAAACAACCCCAGTTCCCTAATTGTGCTGATTTGGTGTGCTCTTCTGGAATGTTACTTAATTTGTTAAAACAGTGTAGAAATCTAGTGCCGTTTTAAAAGAAAGATATCCTGGAATAGGAGTTTGTTTGAGGTGGAAATGTTTTTACTTAAGTTCTGGAAGTAAATTCTATGTGGGATAGCTGCATACCAGTGCCAGTTTCTGAGACTGAGGCTGACGTGCCCTGTCTCTGGGTCTCCGAGGTCTTAAACCCAGAACTGACTGGTTTAAATCTTGAAGTGTCAGATACTGTTTAAATTTGCCTTTGCTCTCCCCACCCCCATTTTTAAAAACATTGTCTTTTCACTGAGCAGTTGCTAAAGCTGTATCACAGATGTAAATTTGTGTTTACTTCTTGCCACAGAGATAACAGTAACCAGAAGGCTGTGTGCTCCAACTCTGTTCACTGATAACTGATAATAGTCTACATTTCTTGTGGATTAGCTATATTACATAATGATGATCTCTTTTTTTAATTCTAAAGGACACTGTATGTAAAAATTGCATATGTAATTTGTTACTAAACTATGTAAGAGATCAGGATCTGAGCCAAAGCTCGTTGACTTCAGAGGTCCTTGGGTCAGGCATTGCTGAATATTCCAATATCCTTTCTTACATGTGTATGTGTCTTTTTTCTTTTCCCCATTAGGGCCATTCTCTCAGTGATGGGTTGGATGAAGTCCAAAAAGCTGAGATGAAAGCCTACATGGAATTAGTCAATAATATGCTCTTGACAGCAGAGGTACAGCAAACCATAGTAACTCCACACACTTACATAAGTGACTGTAGGCAAGAAAGCTTTAGGATTTTTTCCCTGTATTGGAAATACTGCTTGTTCTTAGCTTAGGTCATCAACTTTTTTGAGGTGAAAAGAAGCAGGAATAAATTCTCTGTACCCTATGAATTGCTTGCTGAAATGTTCCTGTAGACACAAGCCACAGGTGTGATTCCCCTGACCTACCTGAAGTGTGTCATGTAGCTGTAGAAGTAACCGATTTCTGCAGATGGAAAATGCCGGTGGCTCCTGGGATCCTACCCCACCCCACAACTGGCCGGGCACCCCGCTGTCACCTTCCACAGTGTCCGTGCTCATGTGCCAGGTGGGAGGCTGGGATCCCCTGTGGTTCACATCTGTGGCCAGTTAATGTGACACAATTCCAGCGTAGGAACAGTGTTGGAAATGCTGGCAAGCTGCAGGTGGCTGAGGGCTGGTAACCTGTGTGCTGAGTTGTGTGTAGTGTGGGCAATGGGAGTGGGCCTTCGGTCTCAGCTTGGTCTTGGTGCTGGTGAAGTAAGGACTAGCAGCTGGGCTTTTGTCTTCCAGTTTTAATTTATTTTCTGCATTCAGAGGTCTAACAGAAGGAATGAAATGGAAATTTAATCTAATACAGAAAAGAAAATTCTACTAGTGAGAAATTATTTTCTCTGTATTCTCCTTTACTAGGAACTTTTAGTATGTGTTCTTTCTGTTCCTAGCTCTATCTCCAATGGTGTGATGATGTTACAGTAGAGGAGGTGAGTGGTTCTGCAGCATTTATCTTAATTAAAATTTAATGAGAAAACACTTCTGCTCACAATCGCAAGTCCCTACTCATAAATGAAACATTGAGGTTTATACCATTAATGATACAGTCTTTTCACTTTAATTTCGCTTGCATATACATTTTAGGGGGTTGTGTCATTACTGGAGGTAGCTGACTGCAAAATAGATAGGGGTTTTATATATGTTTCTGAAGTAATAGATTTAAATGGTTATGCTGCAAACTATAAATTCTGCGCAAATAATTACAGCATATCATGCAACTCGCTTTCTCTTTTACAGTTCCCTTTCTGATAGAAATATATAAATAGTAGCTATTTTGTGCGTAGAGGTATCTGTATTTTCTTATATTATAACACAGTACCTTTCTGTTTTTGAACAAAGATTACTCACCCGAGGTATGGCTCCCCTTACCCGTGGCCTCTTAACCGCATTTTGTCCTATCAGAAGCAATGGGAGGTAAGGCGAAAGATGAAAGCCATTGGGTGGGCTGGCAAGACACTTGCACAGGTCAGTATGAAAAGTGAAGCTTATTTCTTTACCCTGTTTTTTTTTTTTTTTAAAAGGCTGTGGAGAGTAACACTTTCCTGAAACAGATGTAGTAAAAAATATATTCTGTACTTAAAACATTATCTGGACTCAGGTATTTGCCTTCAGCAGCAATAAATCTGAAATTACGTGCAACCCAGTGGGGTGGGAGGAAGGATGTTTTACCATAAGTGTACATCTCTGGTGATGTTAGTTTAGGCCGTAGTCCTGAAAATAGGTTGTAAGGTATGGCCCCCACCTCCTGTATGGTGTTAATAGGCAAGCTTTGCAGGATTGTGGCTTCCCTTGTCAGAG